GTGTGGAGCACGTATGTGAGTGCGTGAATATCGGTCAAGTGGTCTTTAGGTCCCCAAGTGGAACAGCCGCCTGCAAAGACAAATGACGTTAGGGGGCGGAGGCGGGGGCATTGCAGAACGAAGGGGCGACAGGCATCGCGGCTGTCCGCCACAGTCCAGAGTTCGAATCTCGGGGGTTTTAACCCTTGAGATTTGGTATAACTGGCTAACGACGGCTAACAAGCCGGTAGTGGCCATTCCGGTCTCCCTTTGCTTTGTCGGATTCACTCTAGGTTATGCAGCATATAAACTGCAAAGGCATTCACTGGTGCTCTTTGTTTGCCCAGTGTTTCATGCTGCTGTGCCCTGTAATCATTCCTCAATCCTCCTCTTGACTTTCTTCTATCCTACGATCCTTATAACGAAAATCTTATCTGTTGCTAACCATGATGATACCATAACTTGAAGCCATTTTTCAAGCATATCCTACCCTTGACGTGTCTTTGCGAGATGGACACTGCCTGCTAATGTAACGTACGTTGCTCCCATCTCCAGCCCTCTAGCTAGCTTACGATTTTTGAAGGAGTCATCGTTTTGATGAAGGTAATTTCCAGTCTGTTCTTCATTTTGTTTCACACCCATTTTATTACGTCAAGCCGGCGTTTGGAATGGTTGTTCCTAGTGTCATCATGTAAAACAGGCCAGTCTAATACAATAAAGCCTTGGTTTTTAGAGGTTTGGTATATTTCAGTAATTTGATTAACCCAATTGCGAAAAATTCGCGGCCTAGGTGGGAGTCGAATCCACACAGCAGGGAAGGCTTTTGCGCAGCCAACGCTCTATCAGTGAGCTATGGGGCTCACTGTGAATTTAATCATATTTGGGTCGATTTGCTTGCCTAGCTTTATTGCACCTATGGAATCCACCAGGCATACTATAAAATTCCCATAAAGCTTAGTCGGAAAGGGCATATCTATCGCTCATATTTACCCTGTCTAATTCTAGTCTGTACATTAGCTAAGAACACTGTCAGAATAGCATATTTTAATTGCAGCAACCATACAAAATATTTTTTTATGCTGACTTGGTCTCTCCTTCAGACTAGGTTAAAAACAAATGATTCAGGAGCCAGTGCTGACTAGACAGCGTTAGTTCTGCTCGGCATTGGTAGACTAGAGGGTTTATCGCACTTGTATTTGACTTTCTACCTAATCTACTTGTGAATTTCCCGCTTCCCATCTTCCCTACCGTTTCTGCAGATTTGTCGTCAACTGCCAGCCCTACGAATGCTGAACGTCAGTGGCAACCATATGCGCCTACCTCCAACGCCAAATGACCACATTGAATCCCTCTCCGACACTGACCAGCGCTTGCGATTTGACATCGACGCTGATCCCAAGGAGGCTGAAGCCTTGTGTTCTACCTCGTTTCCCATCCTGCACCATCTGGCTGCCGTACGGATGTCGAATATGTCTTGGTCTGTTCTCAAGCGCATTCTGTCCTGGATGCCCTCCATAAAGGAAATTTGTGTCGCCTACAATCCCGTAAGTACTTATGAAGTAGTGTTGCTCTAGTATTTTCGGTGCTTTTTATTATTTTTGCCTGTTTACGGACCTACTTATTCATCATCATCATCATCATCATCATCATCATCATCATCATCATCATC